CCATGAGCTGTGAGGCAGTTCGAACATAAATCCGACTGGCACTGTTTACACACGGCAATGGCCGGCTGTTCTGATTTACAGGCCCGACATCGTCGTTCTCCCACTGCTTCTTCATTTTCAGCTAATCGAACCTGGAAAAGACGCTCGAACAAATAGGAATGGCTCGACTGATAAAACATACATAGTCCAGAAGCATCGTATGCACGTATCTGACATCATTACCGACGTGCGATTCTTGGGCACATATTGGACAACGGATTACTCCAGGTGGTGTTGGTCGTTCTTTGCCTGTAACAATCTACTCTATCTCAATATAAATCAGTCACTCCGACTGATATCAAAGCAGGTCCACCAGCAAGGCAGGTGTAAAAATACAAAAGAGTATCTACTTTGAGCCGTTCTTTACCGCGAGGGTATCACCTATTTACACTATTACACTTCCCTACAACCCTCCTCACATTTAGCTTTCATTATACTAGAAATTTAACAAAAAAACTAACATTTGGGCGCTTCCAGCTCACAGTCAGTGGGATTACGTTTATCCTGGTCTGAAGTTTTCTGCGCATCTCGACGCCCATCTAGCTGCGCTATTATACAGTCCTCGCACATTGAATGTAAGCAGTCCAGTACTCTGGGCTGAATGAAGACGTATAAAAATATTCTCAAGTATAAGATAATATACAGTTCACTTTTCTGAAGTCGTGGTGACAATAAGGGCAATGTGACTGATCATCTAGCGGCAACGGTTCCGTATTCAACAGTGGACTGGATGTATCCGACCTGTGAAAAAGTAACTTAAGTTTAAAATAGTTCATTCTATAAATTGTTAAAAAGATCCTTAATATTCTTCGTGATCATGCTTCGTGAGACGTATATTATCCATCAGATGACGCTGAATATGCGTCTCACCAATCTGACTCATAGACAAAACTATAGACCTAAGAAGATGAAGATTGAATTACAATGCTATCATTCATACGGCCTTTTTTCAAAATTCTACCGCAACTTCTGCGTAAAGCTACTAGCAAGGTCACATTAGACTGATCAATCTACGTTCAAAATATTTGTAAGCTCACTAAGCGTCTTTCTTAAGCAATGCTTGCAATGTGATGGCAGATTCATATGCTACTGAAAGCACCTAAATTTTAGCACACAACTGGGCGCTGTGTGCTAAGATTGAGATGCATCCAGTAGCATATAAATCTGTGATTGATTAAGAAAAGAGAGCACAATTTAAAAACTTCAAGTTCATAATCAATGCAAAGCTTCGCAAGTATGGCCAAGAAATAGTCTCTTTAGCAAGCTGCTATGCAGAAACAATCAATATATCAAAAATCGTACCTAACAGCCTCATTTTCCCGACTGCGGTCAAGGCTTGGTGGGCTGGCTGACTTTTCGGCTTCTTGACTCTGCGGCGAGTCTAGACGACCGTTCTGGTCACCCATTATGGGTAGTTTTGCTGTCGCCTGGAAAAAAAA